TTTTGGGCCATATCCTCGCACTTGAGCGAATATCAGCAAATTACAGCCAGCCGTTTCAAAATTGCTCTTAATATTTCAGTTTTAAGGTGAAATTAGGTGTTGAACAGGGTCTAAATCAAGTTTTATAGAATATATCACAACAATGTTTCATTTGACGAATTTTAAACGTGTTCTGAGCCATTGTGCTAATATTTCAAACCAGGAGATAACTTCTATTTCGCCATGGTAGGTAAATTACAAACTTCTTATTCTATCTGTTCGTTCTAAGCGCGCCCGTGGGCAATAAGAAGCGAATCCTGTGTTCCTTAATTTGGAGCTGACCTGGGTGAAATTTTGGAACAATAACTCACCTATATTACACCGCTGTTTTCCTTCTGGTCCTGATGAACACGTGCAGTCATTGTTAACTGATATGAAATGGATAGAGAAAACAAATAATAATAGAAAAAATTACACTTTTAAAAACAAGTCCGTGTGTAGGCAAATGACGACGAGTGATGGCTCATCAGGAATCAGATAGGCCACAAACGTACGCTGGTATAACATTATTTTTGAAAATATTGCTCTAGAAACTAAAAGTTTTAAATTACCTCTTTCGCAGTGTCTTCCTGTATATGCTTCCGTACAGCGACACTTGTAACTGTTTGTCCGATACAGAGGTACACAGGTCCCTTTGTTCTGACAGGGCGATATCGAGCATGGAGACTAAGATCGAGAAAATAAAGTACTCACTTCCTTGATAAAAACCAGTAGTAGTAGCAGTAGTACTTTATTTAGACACATTTCACCAGTGAGCCTGGGGCTCATTTAAATGTCAACGTGTATGGTAAAATTAAAATGTAAAATTTGAATATGTTATCTATTCGATAAAAATACAAAAACTAGACTATAAAATTTAAAAACTAGACTATACAAATTTAATATGTTAACTACTCGATACAAAGATTACAGCAACAATTGGCCTTGGCAGTCAGGTTAACATTGTTTTGTAAATTTTTAAACTTCAAAGATCGAGAGGACGCTCTTCTTATATTGTCAGGAAGGTTGTTCCATAAACATGAAGTTATGTAACGATAAGATTTCTACAAATACTTTGATTTAAAAGTAGGCTGATTTAACTTACAATAACCTCTTAGGCTATAACTGCTAGAACGCAATGAGAACAATTCCTTGATGTAGTTTGGCCCCGTATTAAATGAAGATTTGTAAAGAAGGATTAGGGCTTACATGTATCTGCGATGTTCGAGGGACTTAATGCTTACTATCTTAAGTAGATCGCCAAATGGAGTTGACTTGAGCAGATTTATGAGTGTTCTGATAGCAAACTGATTGGCAAATTCTAGCTTGTTAGAAAGTCCAGGTGAAAGTCCCACTAAATCAGGTTACAAACTTTGATGACGGGTTGATAGAATGACTTTAAAATGGCTTGCGACGAACACAAAAGTAAAGAAAAAGCCACAGAGAGACGTATTTTAACGTTCAGTTAACAGTTGAAAATAACTTGTTCAAACGACTTCGACTGCCGGTTTCAGTCATCATCAGGATAAAATTTTAAAAAATGTGATGATAAAGATAAAACGATAGAAAAAGAGTTTTACCGTAATACTGTAGTGATACCAAGAATGGTTGATAATGAACTTGTCTGAATGGGTGAAAATATCCGATGGAAGCAGTTCACATAGCAGATTTTCGATGTTATCAGCCAAATCTGCCAGGTTGAAGGACAAACATGGATCCTCATAGAGACATTTAAAAGCACACTCTAAGGAGTGTTGGACCAGTTCTTTCCCAACATATGTAATGTTCAAATAGGAGCCTTCGTGAGCAAGAAAATTGGCGAAAGCAACCTCATTATGTGGTGATTGTCCTGTGTTTGATAAAGAAATGAAGGTAACCGATCAAAATAGTTTTGCTTATACTTATTTATGAGATAGATAGCAATAAAAAAGGGAGTATTACTGCGACGGAAGAGAGATTATACCTTTTGAGGTCTGCAAAGAGCTCGCTGATACAATCAGAGCAAGGAAACAGGAAGATAACAAGAAAATTTCCATCTTATTCTTGTAGCTCACAGAGAAATCATTTTCGTGCTGATACACGGTTTGCAAACATCTGCTTCAGTTAATATTACAATTTCTCTTCATCCATAATTAATTTGTTTTTCCTTTTAGGTGAAATAGTACCTAATGACAAATGTAAGTCTAAAACGTTAAAATACTTACAAGATGGCTTCAACGCAAGCAAACAATTACTTTTTGACCAGTAATTTTTTTAGGGTTTAAAAGGCCGGAAACATTTCGAGCTTATCTTGAAATCATATATAACTCCACTACACGTTAAATAAAGGCTTATAGTTTCTAAAGAAACTGTTTGGCCCTGCGTCGATGGGGGTAACGAAATAATTT